GGCCATATTAAGCCCTTATTAAGGCCATATTAAACCCTTTTTATGGCCATATTAAGCCCTTATTATGGCCATATTAAGCCCCTATTAAAACCATATTATGCGTCACTCAGAACCTGGTGACCGTCACTCAGAACTGGGTGGCGTCACTCAGATCTCGGTGACACGTCCATTTCGGGGCTGCCTTTTTGCCTGCCGCAATTCCGCGCGTGCTAATTTTCATAGGCAAATACCTAGGTTTTTGGGCTTGATTTTGGCCTCGCTGCCTTTTTCGTCCAATTTTTGACAACAGAAAAAACGTAAAATTAACGATTTCGATAGGAATATGTCAACCGTAGAATTCTGAGAGCAAAAACCCAAGCATTTTGAAGCTTTTTTTGTTGGCTCACAGCTTTCCGTAATAGATTGCACGGATTGTCGGTTTTCGGTAATGTAAAAATGCGTTTCGCGCGTTCCTTTAGGTAAAGTGAAAACGTTGCCGAGGCACCAAAGCCGTGGAAAAAAAACAGTAAAAATTGCGCACTGGTTTTCGCAATCTAAAAACATTTTTTTAATTCCTTAAAGTAAGTTGATGAAAGTATGGAAGCGAGCACGGGGAGGAATCAGATAGACACCAAAAAACACTTGTTTGGTTTTGTTCAATCAAAGAAAATAATAGTTAGCAGTACTAGTACTAGTAGTAGTAGATGTGTATGTATACATATATATCATATAGGTGTGTTTATACATATATAGGTATATCTTTATATCCACGTAGGTAGATATACATGTTTATCGGTGTATCTGTACACATACGTAATATATATATAAATATAGACTTATGAATACATATATGACATATTTGACATATGCTATATGTACTCTAATTACGGTCCGTCCGGGGGGCCCCTCCGGATCCTCGGGACCCCCCCGGACCCCCCCGGACCCCCCCACACGTCCGGGGGGTCCCCCCGGACACCCCCGGACAAGATGTACGCAAGTGGCCGGTGGGCCCCCCCGGACCCCCCCAGACACCCCCCGGACACCCCCAGACCCCCCCCGGACGAATCGTCGACGACCACGCAAAGGAGATTGCACAGTTGTGCAAAGTATAGCGAGATGCCTATGTTTCGTAGCAAATCTGAAAAAAACGTCCACCGTAAAATGTCGGATTTTTGGCGTTGCCTTTGCTTGCCCTCGGGCACGGCCGGGCGTGCATTTGCCGCCACGATAGGCGTTTCCCTATGTTTTGAGTGGATGCACGCAACGTGGCTGCGCGGACCCCGCGCGTCCAGAACGGCGCCGCAGCACGCAAACGGCAAAGTACCGGGCAAGGCGTGCCTCCATTTCGCACGTTCCTTTAAGGTAGAGGAGGACCCGCGAAGGCAAGTACTCGCCACCTTGTACTTTGTGAGGCTCTCCACACTAAGGTCCGAGACTGCTAGGAATCCCTCCGAGACCGTCAGGTGGCGCTGACGGCTCGGGGGGAACCAGGCCTGGGTAATTTTGCTTTTTTTGTGCTTCCGTAGAACCAACCAGTACCGGTAGCGACAGCACCTGTTGTTGTTGTTGCTGTAGCACGGGTAGGAAACGGAAAAACAATGAAACATACTTATCTAGCTTTTGTTCAATCAATGAAGCTAACAGTTAGTAGTAAGTATAACAGTAGTAGTAGTAGTAGTAGTAGTAGTAGTAGTAGTAGTAGTAGTAGTAGTAGTAGTAGTAGTAGTAGTAGTAGTAGTAGTAGTAGTAGTAGAAGCAATAATAATAATAGTAGCAGTAATAGTAGTCGTCGTCGTGGTAGTAGTAGTGGTAGTAGAAGCAGGCGCGGGCCGCCGCACATGCCCCCGTTGAGTTTCTCGCCGCGTTCCGAGGTACAGTCCGCACACTGCAGCTGCTGCACCCAGCAAGTCTGTTCGGAAAAAGCGAAGAAGCCTCGTCGGTCTGTGCACGCCACACTTGTCCCTAGTACCCGGCCGGTGCCATGGCGCGTTGCACTCGACAGCACGTCTTGCTGGAGGCTCAAGTCACGTATCACCATCCAAATTCGAAATCCTCTGTAGCACACTCAGCATGGAGAACCGGCCCGGACCTCAGAGGTCAATTGATCCTTAATTGCGGTGCCAAGCCTTGAATACCAGCAGAGTCAAGACATTTCCAGGACAGATGTTGCCATGTCAGAGATGCTCGAGGACGGCCGGGCAAGTCCGCCGAACATGTCCGTTCTCGGTGCAGCGACAGGAGGACACTGGCTCCGACATGTTGGCATGGCGCGAGACCCAGCGAAAACGATCATATATGGTAGCCTGGCAGCCGACCTGAGACACGCTTGCAACAACCCTTGCAACAATGAGGGGCGTGGAGAACGCCCGCGCAAGCAAGTCTCGGAGGTCCATTGGGTTGTCATCCGTCTAAAAGATAACAATACCAAAAGCTAAGCGAGCAGTTGGTTTGCAATGCACAGGATAGAAGGTCCAGAAGACAGTGACATCCGCGAGAATGTGCCTGGATCCGAGAAGCGGCGATTCCCGCCAGCGCAGCAACCGATCGCAAGACGATCCACTCGATGCGTGAGGATCGACGTGCACATGTCAGAAACGCAAGAGGACCGTGGCCGCGGGACCGCTCTGACCATCTCCATTTCTAAGCACTTCTGTAATCTCAGGAGGAAGAGAGTGGCTCCGATACGTCTGCGTGGCGCGAGACTCAGCAAGAAGCCAGCGCTGGGCAGCCTACAGCCGATGTGCTTGAAACAACAAGGGGCGTGGAAGACATCTACGCAAGCAAGTCGGAAGCTCAACTGCGACCGCCTGCATGGAGTCGCGCTTGCATTCAGCCTCTTCCTGCCAAGGTGCTCCCCAGATCCGGGTCAGCTCGAGATCACTGCCCGTCTATACCATGACTCTTGCCATCGACCGGAAGTTTTCCAGCAGCGTCTGCAGGAGATCGAGGCTATTTTTGGCAGCGACGAGCTGGCCGAGCAGCAGCGTTTACTCGACGAGTATGCTGGAAGAGAGGCCGACGCAGTGCAGCCCTTGGAACCAAGCGTGGTGGACGACGCCCAAGTCGAAGTTCCCGAAACAACACCGACGCCACGTTGGGCTCTGACTATCCAACCGCACTGGTGCGATAAGATACTGAACGGCAGCAAAGTCTGGGAGATCAGAGGCCAGAATTGCGTAAAGCATCTGGGTGACAGGATTTGCATCGCCAAGTCGGGGTCAAGGATGCTGGTCGGAGAGGCGACGATCTCGAAGAGCATGAAACTGACAAGGGCAGAGCTCGAAGCCAACGTGCATCTTCACGGAATCCAAGATCTCTCCGCCGTGCAGTACACCAACCTCTATGCTTGGGTACTCGAGGAAGTGAAAGCTTACGAGGAGCCGTTACCTTACGGCAAAGCACCAAGAAGCGGCTGGGTGGATCTTCAGCCTCCACCTCCTCAGCCTCGCCACACGGAGTGTCGCAATCCAGATTGCCGTTTCGGCCTTACCAAGCGAAGCACTCGCGGCAAGCCTTACACCAGGGTCAAGGACAGTATCAGTTTCGAGCACTGCGTGTTCTGTTCCGCGGAGGCCTTCCAGTCAGCACTTGAGGAGCGAGACGGACGGCAGATCAGGAGATGGCTGGGCCAGTTGGCGAAGGCTAAGGACGGACGGCATGACCAGGCGCTGCAGCGCATTCGGGATATGCATGGTGCACAGATGGCCGAGCGATTCAGTCAAAAGCCACGCGCGCGGGCACCCAAGCCTCGCAGTGAATGGAAGAGCTCGCTCGCATTCCGGCAGCCTGCGCTGCAAGCTTCTCGCGCGACTCGACAGGCTTTCGACGCCCAGCAGCACCGACACAAGACGCGCTTGCAGAACAAGTTTCCAGCTGTTTACGGAGAGGGTGCTCGAGAGAGGACACTCTGGATGCCTCCTCGTGCTGCGGCATTTGAGAAGTGGTGCCTCGATGACTCCTGGCGTATGTGCAGCGGCTGCGGCCGCATGGTGCCCCAACCATTCCGTGCCACGCATGCCGCCGGCAAAGCCAGTGCAGCTTCCGAGCTGCCTGCCTGCGGGTATTGCAAGTCTGGCGGGTCCACCGGGTATTGGGCCCCAACTCCTGCGGACATCCCGAGGCGCCTGCGCAAGTTGTCGTCGCAAGTAGTCGAAGCTTTAAGACCCTTCGACATGCACGCCGGCGGAGTGTTTCGACCTCCAAGCGGCTACCTGGTACACAACGACATGATGCGGTTCTCATTCAAAACATCATCAGTGGAGGACAATCTCGCCAAGCTTCCAAAGAAGCAGCGCGAGCGCGGCCAGAAAGCGCTGGAATATCTGCTGCGCGAAGATTGCCCTTCGTACTACGGTCGATTCTGGCAGCTTCACCAACGCAGCCTTCGCAAGAGGGCGAGAGCAATGGAGCGCGGAGAGATCTGGTCCGGCACACCGGCGAGGCGCTTGCCAACAAACTTCATCGAGACGGTCGGCCTGGAGTGCGCCCTGTGGCCACATCTATACTGGTGCGCGGAAATGACGGAGACTTACGTGCGATCGCAAGATGCCCGACGACTGCAACGCCGTCATCGACAGCAAATGGAATGCAGCGACGAAGACCAAGACACGTTCGGAGCCGCACCCGGCAAAGCATCGCGACAAAGTGCCAAGGCGAGCTACCTGGCGAAAGCTCACTCGGCGGTGATCGGCTACAGCTCCGATTCCCAGCTCCTCCACTTCGTCTATGACTTGTGGCTCTTCACCACCATCGGCAGTGCGAAAAACAGCGCTGGCACCAGCAGCGTGCGGGAAGCCTTAGCGACAAAGCCGTACTCGCCGGAGATGTGGCGCACTTACCACACGGCCTTGGTGGACCTGCAAAAGCAAGTGGGGTGGCCGAGCCTCTTCATCACCATCGCCCCGTACGAATGGTCGTTCCCCTACCACCAGTGGCTGCAAGACGAGCTCACGAAGTCTCTGAGTGCTAGGCTCGACATGCCCGTTGCGGAGACATTGCATTTGGCGCATGTTCTCACCCAGGCAGTAAAAGGTCTTCTTACAGGGGCCAACGAAGGGCTACAGTCCAAACGGGAGCACGTCTTCTGTTCCGCAGAAGGACCAGGGAAAGTTCGTCACTGGGTGGCCAGGCTGGAGTTTCAAGATGGGAAGCGCAAACGCAACGTCTTCCGAGACGGTCAGTCCTACCACGGGCGAGGAGCCGTCCATGTCCACATACTTCTCTGGCTGAAGGACATGCAGGCCATGGACCTATCAACTAAAATCCGTGCCGACGTGCCCGGCCAGGGCGAGCAGGAGATGCGCGATCTCGTGGTGGGCTCGCAGCTGGATTACACTTCAAGCGGATGGCCCGTTCGTGAAGAACCCACAGAAGTGATCGAGCAGGAGCAACGACTGCGACTGCATCACCCCCGGGATGCTTTCGAAAGAAGATGTCGCGCTTACCTCCCAGACGTACTAGCTGCTCTTCGCTGCCATGTGGATGTGCTGGCATCGGACGGACGAGCCATGGTGCTGAAATACTGCGCAAGTCGCTCGTCTGCTTGTAATATATGATCAAGCTAGCTTTCGTAAACATTTCTTTTATCGCCGCTTGCATATTCCACATACTATCACGTCGCCGAGCTGACACACTCGCAGGCTACTTGCCCAAGTTCAGCAGCTCCTTTGCGGCAGAGCTGCTCAACAACGAGGCGACTGATTTCACTTTGGCTAGGCGAGTTCTGGCGGACTACCATCCCCTCCAACCGGAGATGATCATGCAGCTTGCGGCACAGCAGCATCCACAGTTCGTGTGTCCGGCAAACGTGCGCAAGTTCGTCGTTCCAGTTCCCTGGCAGAAAGACCCGCCGCAGATTGTGCAAAGCTACATGTCGAGCACCTGGAGGAGGGACAACACGAGCCTCCTCGACTTTCTGCGGAAGTCGGGTTCCGACGGGCAAATCTCGCAAAAGTATCGCCGTGTGCACCGTGCACGCAAGATTGGCATGCCCCTCAAGGATTGGATCAATGTTCACCCGGCGGACGGCCAGACTCTCGTCGCCAGCGTCATGTATTCTCACACCAATGATCGCCACTACGGCCAGTGGCTGCTGCTCAATGTGCCCTTCCGCAACATCGACGACCTCTGGCACCCACAGGCGGAGCTCCTACCAGAAAATCTGCGATACCTGGGCTTATGTGTCTTGCATCGACGTCGCTTCTGGCGAAACCCAGACAGCATCCGCTCCGAGCTGGAGAAGGAGGCGCGATCGGACACGTACATCAAGAACACGCTGGCTATGCTGACTGCGAGGATCGAACTGATTGACGCCTACCTATCCCGAGAAATGACGGTGGACAGGAACCCAGCCCCTCCATTGGACGGTGCAGCGCGAGTGTCTGGCGAAGCAATTGAAGTGGCGCCAGAACAGGCGAACGTGATAACCTCCATCGGCAACCGAGTCCGACACGCGATGCAGGCAAAATGGCCAGAAGATCGTGAAGTGGACGGCTGGGCCAGTTGGCTGGAGCGTGACGTGGCCGTCAACATCGCAACGGTGGTACTGGGACCGGCCGGCAGCGGAAAGACCACCGCCGTGGAGATCGCGTTGGATCAGGCCGTCAAAGCGGGCGCGCACGTCGGAGTGGCGTGTCCGACAGGCATGTTGGCAACCCGGTACAGAGCGCGTCACCCGGACCTGGATATCGACACCGTGCATGGCATGTTCGCGCTGCACAAAGACGAGCTCGCGACGGCCGACATGATGAAGATCTACGACATGCTCGTCATCGACGAAGTCGGACAGCTGCCGGAATGGATCTTCGAAAGGTTGCTGCGACTCTGGGATGCCGCCGACCGCCGGACTGCCCTTGTGTTCGTGGGCGATTTCTGCCAGCTCTTGGGACCCGACGGCACCACGGCGAGAGACAGTCCCAGGTGGCGGAACATGCACATCCTCAATCTCCACGAGATGCGTCGCTGCAAGTGCGAGCGGTTGAAATGGAAACTTCAACTGCTGCGAAGTGAGATACCCAGCGGCAAACAATTGAAAAAGATTTTGAAAGGCCACCGAGCAAATCTTCGAAGTCGACCTGGCGCCGGCAACGTCCCCAATGCCGAAGACATCGCCATCATTCTGAAGGAGACCCCAAAGACCACCTTCGTGACAATCTCCCGTCGAGGATCCGCCCGGCTCAACCAACTCGCTCTACGTGCTCTCTTCGAAAACGATGAAGTCCTTGCGCACATACCATGCGATCCACAGGAAAATTTCGAGAACTTCTACGGTGCTACACAGGTGGATGCACAGCCTTTTTGGATGCCGGTCTATCAGGGTATGCGTGTGACGATTACAAGGAATACGGACAAGGAGAACGGCTTCGTCAATGGCATGGGTGCAACCGTTCAGCGCATGAGACGAAACGGCATCCAAGTGAAGACCGATGAAGGCAAGGTTCTCCTGGTGCACCCGATCACGCACGAGTACTACCTACCTGATGGATCTTATCGCAGGACTACAGCCTTCCCACTTCGTTTGGGCTACAGCACCACGCTGCACAAGATCCAAGGTGCCACTTTGCCGCACGTCACCTTGTGGATGGATGTGCCCTTCGTCCGCGCAGCTTTGTATGTCGCCATCTCACGAGTACAGTATGATCGCGACTGGCGCTTCCTGGGCTCTATCGACAGACGGCATTGTCTGCCGGCAAACATCTGATGATGATGATGAACTATTGTGAGATAGCCTGCAAGGGTGCCGAAACGACCATCATCAGAGGATGCTGTGCATAGAGTTGACGAGGTGAGTCCGCCGGCAACGGAGCGGATGTAATCCCCGTAGCTGCGGAGGCAACGTCCCTGAGCATGTGGCTGAGCATTGGAGAAAAACGAAGCTGAGGTAGTGCGACCTCGTCTGCTTTCGCATGGGACATGGTAGGTGCCAGCGACTACAAGCACCACGAGTATTCCTGAAAAATAAAGCTTTAGGATTTAGCGCCAAATCCTGATCCTAGACACTATTCCTAAACACTAAAGCTTTAAGATTTAGCGCTAAACTCTATTCCTAAACACTAAAACTTTAGGATTTAGCGCTAAACCCTATTCCTAAACACTAAAGCTTTAGGATTTAGCGCTAAACCCTATATTCCTAAACACTAAAGCTTTAGGATTTAGCGCTAAACCCTATTCCTAAACACTAAAGCTTTAGGATTTAGCGCTAAACCCTATTCCTAAACACTAAAGCTTTAGGATTTAGCGCTAAACACTATTCCTAAACACTAAACTTTAGGATTTAGCGCTAAACCCTATTCCTAAACACTAAAGCTTTAGGATTTAGCGCAATTCTTTAGGATTTAGGCACCAGAATGGGCGGAACCCCAAGATCGGCCCTTGCCCTAATTAAAATGCACATTTTATGAACAGAATTTATCACTCCAAAATCTGCCTCCGATTTTCCAGAAATCAGCCACCAAACCCTATTCCTAAACACTAAAGCTTTAGGATTTAGCGCTAAACCCTATTCCTAAACACTAAAGCTTTAGGATTTAGCGCTAAACCCTATTCCTAAACACTAAAGCTTTAGGATTTAGCGCTAAACTTTATTCCTAAACACTAAAGCTTTAGGATTTAGCGCTAAACCTTATTCCTAAACACTAAAGCTTTAGGATTTAGCTCTAAACCCTATTCCTAAACACTAAAGCTTTAGGATTTAGCGCTAAACCCTATTCCTAAACACTAAAGCTTTAGGATTTAGCGCTAAACCCTATTCCTAAACACTAAAGCTTTAGGATTTAGCGCTAAACCCTATTCCTAAACACTAAAGCGTTAGGATTTAGCGCTAAACCCTATTCCTAAACACTAAAGCTTTAGGATTTAGCGCTAAACCCTATTCCTAAACACTAAAGCTTTAGGATTTAGCCCTAAATCTTATTCCTAAACACTAAAGCTTTAGGATTTAGCGCAATTCTTCAGGATTTAGGCACCAGAATGGGCAGAACCCCAAGATCGGCCCCTGCCCTAATTAAAATGCACATTTTATGAACAGAATTTATCACTCCAAAATCTGCCTCCCGACCCTCCTGCCCCCCACCGTCCCCTCCGATTTTCTGTTCCAGAAATCAGCCGCCCAAAAAAAACCCCTTTTTTTTGAGCCTAACACTCTAAAGCTTAGGATTTAGACCGCTAAACGCCTATTCCTAATACACGAAAGCTTAGGATTTATTTAGCGATAAACCCTATTGCCCCCCTTCCTAAAACACTCTTTTTTTTTTGTTTTTTTTTTGTTTTTTGAAAAAACAAAAGATTAGGATTTAGCGCTAAACCCTATTCCTAAACACTAAAGCTTTAGGATTAGCGCTAAACCCTATTCCTAAACACTAAAGCTTTAGGATTTAGCGCTAAACCCTATTCCTAAACACTAAAGCTTTAGGATTTAGCGCTAAACCCTATTCCTAAACACTAAAGCTTTAGGATTTAGCGCTAAACCCTATTCCTAAACATTAAAGCTTTAGGATTTAGCGCTAAACCCGATCCCCCCCACCCGCCCTCCCCCCCCACCCCCCCTCCCCCTCCCGCCCACTAAACACCTAAAGCTTAGGATTTTTTTTTTTTTTTTTTTTTTTTTTTTTTTTTTTTTTATAAAATTTTTTTTTATATTTAACGCTAAAAAACCCTATTCCTCTAGACCCCAACACCAACTTTTTAAAGAAAAAACAAATATTTACAAACACTAAAGCTTTAGGATTTAGCGCTAAACCCTATTCCTAAACACTAAAGCTTTAGGATTTAGCGCTAAACCCTATTCCTAAACACTAAAGCTTTAGGATTTAGCGCAATTCTTTAGGATTTAAGCACCAGAATGGGCAGAACCCCAAGATCGGCCCCTGCCCTAATTAAAATGCACATTTTATGAACAGAATTTATCACTCCAAAATCTGCGTCCGATTTTCCAGAAATCAGCCGCCAAACCCTATTCCTAAACACTAAAGCTTTAAGATTTAACGCTAAACCCTATCCCTAAACACTAAAGCTTTAGGATTTAGCGCTAAACCCTATTCCTAAACACTAAAGCTTTAGGATTCAGCGCTAAACCCTATTCCTAAACACTAAAGCTTTAGGATTTAGCGCGAAACCCTATTCCTAAACACTAAAGCTTTAGGATTTAGCGCTAAACCCTATTCCTAAACACTAAAGCTTTAGGATTTAGCGCTAAACCCTATTCCTAAACACTAAAGCTTTAGGATTTAGCGCTAAACCCTATTCCTAAATACTAAAGCTTTAGGATTTAGCGCTAAACCCTATTCCTAAACACTAAAGCTTTAGGATTTAGCGCAATTCTTTAGGATTTAGGCACCAGAATGGGCGGAACCCCAAGATCGGCCCCTGCCCTAATTAAAATGCACGTTTTATGAACAGAATTTATCACTCCAAAATCTGCCTCCGATTTTCCAGAAATCACCGCCAAACCCTATTCCTAAACATTAAAGCTTTAGGATTTAGCGCTAAACCCTATTCCTAAACACTAAAGCTTCAGGATTTAGCGCTAAACCCTATTCCTAAACACTAAAGCTTTAGGATTTAGCGCTAAACCCTATTCCTAAACACTAAAGCTTTAGGATTTAGCGCAATTCTTTAGGATTTAGGTACCAGAATGGGCGGAACCCCAAGATCGGCCCCTGCCCTAATTAAATGCACATTTTATGAACAGAATTTATCACTCCAAAATCTGCCTCCGATTTTCCAGAAATCAGCCGCCAAGCCCTATTCCTAAACACTAAAGCTTTAGGATTTAGCGCTAAACCCTATTCCTAAACACTAAAGCTTTAGGATTTAGCGCTAAACCCTATTCCTAAACACTAAAGCTTTAGGATTTAGCGTTAAACCTTATTCCTAAACACTAAAGCTTTAGGATTTAGCGCCAAACCCTATTCCTAAACACTAAAGCTTTAGGATTTAGCGCTAAACCCTATTCCTAAACACTAAAGCTTTAGGATTTAGCGTTAAACCTTATTCCTAAACACTAAAGCTTTAGGATTTAGCGCCAAACCCTATTCCTAAACACTAAATCTTTAGGATTTAGCGCTAAACCCTATTCCTAAACACTAAAGCTTTAGGATTTAGCGCTAAACCCTATTCCTAAACACTAAAGCTTTAGGATTTAGCGCTAAACCCTATTCCTAAACACTAAAGCTTTAGGATTTAGCGCTAAACCCTATTCCTAAACACTAAAGCTTTAGGATTTAGCGCTAAACCCTATTCCTAAACACTAAAGCTTTAGGATTTAGCGCTAAACCCTATTCCTAAACACTAAAGCTTTAGGATTTAGCGCTAAACCTTATTCCTAAACACAAAAGCTTTAGGATTTAGCGCTAAACCCTATTCCTAAACACTAAAGCTTTACATTGCCAAAAATGCTCCTAAACACTAAAGCTTTAGGATTTAGGCCCTAAACCCTATTCCTAAACACTAAAGCTGTAGGATTTAGGATTCCAAAATTTGGGCAAGCAGAGGGTTTAGGGTATAAAGTATATTATAGGGCAGTACTGCCGACATCCCAATGCCTAGCGGTGGCACGGCATACACCTTGGTGGGACAGTAGAGGCGCTGTTTAGGCATATTGCATGTGGCGATGCCTTCAAACGCCGAAAAGGCAGGGGAGGTGGCAGCGGTGGGCCGTCAGGGCCCACCGGCCTGCCCCCCCTGAGTTTAGGGTTTAGGGTTTAGGGTTTAGGGTTTAGGGTTTAGGGTTTAGGGTTTAGGGTTTAGGGTTTAGGGTTTAGGGTTTAGGGTTTAGGGTGTGTCGAATCAACTGTTGCGGTAAAAAGAATGTAAGACGGACGCTAGAGTTTTTTTGCATAAGCGAGTTCGTCACGTCCATGGACCTCGCTATAAATCCCTCCACAACCCACCCGGAGCATTTGTCCTTAGCTTAAGTCCTAAGCGTCTAACACGAAGGAAATACCCATGCAGCTACAGGTATTATGCTGACAGTCCTGAATCGCTATGAACGAGCGAAAACGGTTTCAAATCACATGCAATCCAAAGCCACGATGCTTGTACCATTGTCGATTCACACACCCAAGAAAATCAGTGAAACATGGCGTTTCTCACCTTTGCGCCGCAATGCGAGGACGTACGATCGCTAAACGCTAGAAGAACATGTTCCTTCTGCGTATGCACCGCTCCAGAAACAACACAAAGAAGGCATCGCCTGAATAGCTGCAAGTGCGGTCACGCCCATCGCTTTAAGATAGCATAGTTTTGTCGATAAAGAGGAAGGCAACACTGCCCAAACCAGTTAAGCTGCGGTCACGCCATCGCCATCGCATTACGATAGCAACCACAGGTATCGAATTCGATTTCATGTCTTTCAATGTTACACTGCGCCCATGGAAAGTCGTGGATCAGAGGATCACCAAAGCGGAAGGCGAGACGTGGAGGCAGCGCATTGAGCAACTAAAGCCAGAAGGTAACCTCATGAAGCGGTTTCGTTTTACTGTATTTTACAGAAGCAGGTAGGTTTCGGTTGATGCGGTGCTGACGCTACAGTGGAAGGGCGGAGAGAAGGGGGGGGGGGGGGCGGGCAGAAAATATTTAGTTGAGCAGCAAACGCGCGCGCGCGCGAAAAGATCTTTGGCTTCGTTGCTGGTGAAGGGTTGTCGCTGAACGGTCATCGCAAAGAAACTTGACAGCTCTGGTTGCTATCGTAAAGCGATGGCGTGACCGCAGCACTTCAAAACCAAACCATACCAAAGCAGTTCTTATCTCTTTGCAGACAAGAACAAAACGCACATAGACGTCACCGATGTGTGTTTTGGATTGGCCAGATTTGGCCACTTCAAAAGCAAACCATACCAAAGCAGTTCCTGTTTCTTTGCTGACAAGAGCAAAAAGCACATAGACGTCACCGATGTGCGTTTTGGACTGGCCAGGTTTCCAAAACCAAACCCTAGTAAAGCAGTTCTCGTCTCTTTGAAGACAAGAGCAAAACGCACATAGACGTCACCGATGTGCGTTTTGGATTGGCCAGGGTTGTTGCTGAACGGTTATCGCAAAGAAACTCGACAGCTGTGGTTGCTGTCGTAAAACGCTTGCGTGACCGCAGCTTCAACTGTTTCAAGCAATTAAATGGCCCTTGCTTGGAAGTGCGTTGACATCACTTTATTTAGGCGGATTTTAGTTGAGCAGCCACCCATGGTGGAATCGAAATCTTTTCTGAATTGTTATCGGGCAGCCATTCACGTCCAGGTTGACGTCGTGCTACGGAGCGCAACAGCACTGCGCAGCGGGCGAAGGTAGATCAATATCTCACCCAGAGCCGGAAGATGAAGCGATTTCGTTTTACTATATATTACAGAAGCAGGTAGGTTTCGGTTGATGCGGTGCTGACGCTCAGTGGAAGGGCGGAGAGCAGGGAGAGGGGAGGGTCGGGCAGAAAATATTTAGTTGATCAGCAAACGCGCGCGCGCGAAAAGGTGTTTGGCTTCGTTGCTGGTGAAGGGTTGTCGCTGAACGGTCATCGCAAAGAAACTTGACAGCTGTGATTGCTATCGTCAAGCTATGGCGTGACCGCAGCGTCAGCTGTTTCACGCGATGTCATGGCCTTTGCTTAGACGTGTGCCGACATCACTTTTGTTAGGTCGATTTGTAATCGGGCAGCCACCTATAGTCGAACCGAACACTTCTGAATTGAATTCGCTTTCATGTCTTTCAATGTTTCCACATCGGACTGTGTCCACTGCCTGACAACATTGCCTCCAACAGTTGAAGCTGCGGTCACGCCATCGTTTTACGATAGCAACCACCGCTATCATATCAAGTTTCTTTGCGATGACTGTTCAGCTGAAACCCCTTCACCGCCAGGCCTCCAAAGACCTTTTCGCGCGCGCGCGCGCGCGCGTTGTTGGGGGGTCAGAGGCAGCAAAGCCGGGCTTCGCCTCCGGGGGTCAGCGGCAGCAATGCCGGGCTTCGGCCTCGGGCTGCTCCAGGCCGCTGCTTACATGTCGCGAGGCTCGTCTGCGGCATGTCGCAAAACGCTTTTTTTTTTTTGAAAATTGCAAGAATTTTCAAAGGCTTCCACGATGACTGCTTTCGACGACAAAGAAGCTTCTTGTGCTACACATCATGACATGTGTACAACATCGATCCATATCGCTTCTTAATCGACGTCAACTAAAGCACTCTACATCATTTGAAGTTCTTCGACGGCTTACATACGTTCCGAAACGAAGTCACAGCCATCCAAGCAACGACCACGCAGAATCAAAACGACGCCCTTCGCAGAATCAAGGAGACACCCTTCGGCGGAGCACTGTGTCACACCCCGCGGGCCCTCGACCGGACGAGCCTACGTCATTTGAGCTCCTCTGTCTGTTTGCGCCCTTCCCGAAGATACCCTTTCAAACCAAAAATTTGGTGTTTCAAAGGGCCCGCGGGGCCAACGCAGTCGAGAGCGCGTGGGAACGCGACGCCGACCCGCAGAACAGCAGATGTGGGTTGTGGCGACATGAGCAAAGTCAAAAGGATCTCGAAAGCGAAGGTTGCAGAGGCCGTGTCCCAGGACCCTCTGACATCTCAGCCTCCACTCCTCGACAGCAGCTCGGAAGCAGAATCGGCTGAAGTTTCCAGGTTTTATTCGCAGCTTCTGGACGAAGGAAGTCAAGAAGAGCACGCAGAACCGTTGCCCGACAAGAGTGTCCCTGAGAGACGTAGTGCCTTGAAGACATCATCCCTGTATCGAGCCCAACAACGAAAAGCACAGGAAGACGAAGCATGGCAAACGTGGCTGGCAAACCCCGAGATAGAGGCCACGTCCAAAGACTTCGCAGAGGAAGCAGAGGCATGGTGGCAGGACTACGAGGAGCAGCGGCGGGCCAAGAGGCAGCGCAGTGAGAGCAACATCGGTTGGACGGACGAAAAGCCGAAGCACGGTGACAGAATCTTGGTGTTGAGACAGCCTTACCTCGGGTGGATTTTGGCGGGAACGAAAACTCTGGAAATTCGAGATAAACCTCTGCGTGCACAACATGTTTGGCTCGGTCACAAAGAGCTCATCCTTGGTCGCGCTTACATGAACGGAGCAGAACAGATTCTCACAGACGAGGAATGGAAGAGACTTCTGCCACAGCATCGCTGGGACAGGACTGCGCGACCCTACAAGAGAACCTACGGTTTGCGTCTAAGCCAAGTGTGCCGGACGCGACGGCCGCACGAGTATACGCACCCGCTGGGTGCGATCGGCATGGTGGTCTATCGCGAGGAAACTCGCCCGGAGGCATGCAACACAGAGGCAGTTGTTCAACGGACTAAGTCGTGTCCCGGCAGGCATGAAGAAGCTTGTCGCTTCCATCGAGATGGCAGTGGGCGACCCGCTGGACCTTCTAAGCACAGTAAAACCGGCAGATGCATGTTCTGTGATGCCACGGCACTGCGAGAAGTTCATCGCGTCGCTCCTTCGACTATCACGAGAGCCTTGAACAATTTGAAGGCAAAGGCTGCGGAGGTGCACCGCCTGGCACGAACGCGCGTGCAGGAGACCCTGGAGGCATTTTCGTCGGTTGTGAGCATCGAAGATCGTATTTGTCATGTGGCGTTGTCTGACACAGAAGTACAAGAAGCTGCCAAAGCCAGAGACAACGATGCCAAGAGGGCCCGTCGCAAGTTTCCGACGCTTTATGAGGACGAAGGGCAACATGGTGATTGGCAGACCACGGCGGCAAAGACCTTCCAAAAGTGGGCCGAAGAGGAAAGTTGGACAACATGCCCTGGCTGCAAGCGCCTGCGAACGCAGCGGTTCCCCGCAGGAAGTCGTCGCAGTAATGCTCGCTGCAACCATTGTGCGAAGGGCGCAGGATATGTCGCGCCAACCCCCGGCGACGTGCCGCTGGCACTCAGAGGCATGTCTCGGGTCGTGCTGGAGTGTCTCCGGCCGTTTAGCATCTCCTGCGGGCCCGGCGAACGCTCGCCCTCCGGGTATTGGGTGCATACTGCTCCGATTCGATTTCGTTGGAAGAGTGCTACACTGACAGAACGCATTGCCAGTCTCGAGGTGGAGCGTGAACGCAAGCACGCGCAAGTCGCAAGCGAGTGGCTCCTCCAAAACGAAGAGTCGGCATACAAAAAGTTCAATGAGCTGCAAGAAGCGTATGTGATGGTTTCGCAGCAGCAGGAGGATACGGAAGAGACACCTTCGACAGACCTCATGCCATTGCGGTTCATGGAGACGGTGGGCATCGAGTGCGCGGCATGGCCGCATTTGTATTGGAAGACCGCGATGTGTGAAACCTTTGTCAGATCGCGAGACAGCCGTCGACTCAAGAGAACTGCAGATGACCAGAGCGAAAGCGATGAGAACGAGGAAGGCGTGCAAAAACATCAGAGCTTCAAGGCTTCTTACATCACCAAGGTTTTGTCGCCGCTCATAGGCTATGGTGTCGATTTTGAATTGACGCAATTCGTGTATGATCTCTGGCTCTACACGGGTATTGGCAGCGCGGAGCGTGCGAGCGGCTTGAGCCTTCGCGCGGCTCTGGCGGGGAAGTCTTTCGCGCCGGAATACTGGCGAACCAAACACGCTGCACTAATCGACTTGCAAAAGCAGTTGGGTCCTCCGACTCTTTTTCTGACCATAGCACCATATGAATGGACAGCTCCATATCACACGTGGTTGCTCGACGAGATGTGCAAGGCTGCAAGATCCAGAACGAATCTTCCTGTTGCCGAAAGCTTGCACCTGGCGCACCTCTTGACTGAAGTCGTTCGCGAGCTGCTGACGGGACAGCATTCTACAGACGAAATGCAGGGTCTGCTCGGCGAGAAGGTTGTTTATTTTGCACGCCTGGAGTTCCAAGACGGCAAGAGACAATCCTGGCAACAAAAGCTCAGAACACAGTTCTATCACGGTCGAGGTACCGTGCACGTCCACGTCCTTGTTTGGTTGCGAGAGGACGCGGACAAGGGAAGGTTGCCAGGCCTCATATCAGCGGAGCTTCCCCCAGCGGGTACGCCTCTCGGCGACCTAGTACGAGGATCCCAGTTGGATCGCCACGACAGCGCATGGCCTCGACGAGAAGAAGCTTCGATTTGGGACACCGTTTCCCAGACACTGCAGCTGAAACATCCGCGCGATGCTTGGGAAGCAAAGGTGAGAGCTTACATGCCCGACGTGCTCGGGTGCTTAAGATGCCATATGGATGTTCAGGCCAGTGACGGCCGGGGCATGATTTTGAGATATGCAACCGGGTATATCTCCAAATTTTCGCAATTATCGACTCCGGAAGGCCAACTCGACAAGCGTGATATCGCGCACAGCATCCTGTGGCAGTACCATCCACTTGAGATGGAAATGGTCCTTCAGCTTGCAAGCCACATCCTGCCCCAGTGCAATCACACAGGCCACATTCGTCGTTTCGTGGTGCCGGTACCGTGGAGCAGCGGCCGATTACCTCGGGAAATTGAACTGTACGAGAAGAGCACGTGGCGAGCAGACACTATGCCATTGTTGGAATTCTTGCGTCGAAGCAATGCCAAGGGTGAGATTAGCTGGGATATTCGCCGGAGATATGAAGACGAGAAGCCGAGTTGTTCTCTGAACGAGTTTGCCAACAAGTGCTCGACGCAAGGGAGCACCATGGTTGCAACAGTTCTTTACACTCGGAGCAACGACAACTTCTTCAAGCAATGGTTGTTGCTGAACGTACCCTTTCGAAGCTTAGATAACCTCTGGCATCCCACTGTGGACGAAATCCCTGAGGACCTGCAAGGCCTAGCGTTGTGTCTGCACCACTGTCCAAGGTATTGGCAGTCCATGCCTGCCATACGACAAGAAATGGAAGCAGAAGCTTGGAAAGATTACCACATTGAGAACGTGATCTCCAGTGTGAAGGCAAAAACAGAGACCATTGCAGAGATAAGGGCCGGAAATTATAAGCCACCGATCGAAAGCAGCTTCGAGAAGCATGTGGCCGCTGTACCCAATGAGAGCGAGTTGTCCGCTGAACAGCAACATCTGGTGCAAGCTATTACACACAGAGTGATGGAGGCCGCGGAGAGACGATGCGGTGGGACGGTCGCAGCTGACCAGTGGAATGAGCACGTGCGACGGGAAAACCATGATCGCGCGATCTGTTGTCTCGGAGCAGCCGGTACAGGCAAAAGTGTTGTAGTCAAAACAGTCATGACGAAAGTGCAAGACCGGGCAAACGTGGCCATTGCGTGTCCAACAGGTTTGCTGGCGGCGAGTTACCGACGGTCATTTACAGGAGCCCACATCGACACAGTGCATGGTTTTTTCGCATTCCATGTCGAAGAGCATTTGACGGTGGAATTGCTCGCAGACTATGATTTGGTGGTTGTGGAGGAGATTGGCCAGTTAACAAGAACACAGTTCGAGAGAATTATGCGACTGTGGTTGGCAGCAGACCAGCGACCGTGTCTCGTTTTCCTGGGTGATTTCAAGCAATTGCCGTCTATAGATAACACCAACGCCAGAAGCAGTTCTCTGCGCAAGTACATTAGATGGTTTGAATTGCGTCAGGTGCAGCGCACCACATGTCCGGAGTTGCGTCGCAAGTTGGCTCTGCTGCGCGACTGCCAGCCGACGGAGGCCCAGCTGCAAGCAATATTACGCGGACACTCCGTCAGCAACGGGGATCGCCCAACCCGCGAAGAAGTGGCGGGAGTTCTGGAAGGGCAGCGCGAGGTTACAATGGTAACGTTCACTCGCAGAGCTGCTGAAGAGCTCAACCAGATGGCAGTCCAAATCCAATTTGGAGACCATGATCCACTACGCATCATCCCGACAGACCCAGATGCAAACTGCGACAACAAGCAGCACGGAGAGTATGTCAATTTTGATTGCTCTTATATCGCGTTGCACATCGGCATGAAGCTGATGTTGACTCGCAATGTAAATAAGGAAGGCGACCATGTGAATGGAATGTTTTGCCATTTGGAAGCTGTCGGCCGACATGGCATCAGGGTCAGAACGGCCACCAACAAGATCGTTTTGGTGTCCCCACAGACTGAAACCCAGTTGCTCTCTGACGGCAGCGTAGCCAGGGCGACGTTCTATCCCTTGCGATTGGGGTATGCGACAACCTTGCACAAACTGCAGGGTGCCACACTTGACTACATGGCCCTGTGGTTGGATCAGGAGGGCATTCAGGGTGCGGGGTACGTGGCACTGAGCCGCGTCAGAAAGGACACAGACTGGTGTTTCCTCGGTCGGTTGAAGCCGACTCATTTCTGCCCCTCATCGGCGTGAAGCTCATCGCGAAACACCGCGCAGTCTCGCATTGGCACGAGAAAAATGTGGGGAGGGCGATGCCGAGTGACGCCGGGAACAAGTTCCGTATTGTCAGAGAGCTGCGACCAAGCTTTCGTGGCTCAAGCATCTAGCCGAGGCATGTTGTGAGTGTATGCATGAAGTCACTGACCAACATGACATGTAGTGGGACAGACAGAGTTGCGAGAGCAGTTGCTTTGCCAGCTGAAGCAGGGACAAGTAAAGCGAAAGCACGAAGTTGTTCACCTTTCCACGGTTCAGATTCCTAGTCGAGGCATGTTGTGAGTATATGTAGGAAGTTATTAGTGAACATGACATGCAGCGGGACAGACAGAGGTGCGGTTGCTTGGCTCGCAGAAGCGAAAACAAGCGTGGAGCAGCAAGAGCTTCTTCAAATGCACGTCCCAAGTACTGTTGATATATTTTTGCAATTGCATACCGGATGATGTTGTTAACGTTTCCGTGGCCTGAATTTGAGCAATCCAGGATCCAAACGAACGCATGAGGCATGGGGAAGGCTAAGAGTGGGCGCACGGCCCCGTTTTACTGGATAATGTGGCGCCGATGGCACACACGAGCACGCGAGGGTCCATTTTCAAATCCGAGCTCCGAAGGACGGAGTGTAAGGATTCGGAAGAAGCCAAGAACACATGGACTCGCCGAAGGTCAAGGCAAAGTTTGAAGCAGCCACACGAACAGAAAGGCAGTGTTTTGCTGCAGAAGGACGGAGTTTGAGATTGGGAAGGCGGCTAAGAGCAGCCACACGAAAAGAACGGCCCTGTTTTGCTGCAGAATGTGGCACCGACCTGCTTGGGCACACACGAGCACTCGAGGGTCCATTTTTTGATCCGAGCTCCGAGGGACGGAGTTTAGGGATGGGGAGGGCGGCTAAGAGCAGCCACACGAAAAGAACGGCCCTGTTTTGCTGCAGAATGTGGCCCCGACCGGCTTGGGCACACACGAGCACTCGAGGGTCCATTTTTTGATCCGAGCTCCGAGGGACGGAGTTTAGGGATTGGGAAGGAGGCTAAGAGCAGCCACACGAAAAGAAAGGGGAGCACCTCGAGATTCGCAGCCGGCCTAGTCTAAAAGGCACATTTTATGAACAGAATTTGTCACTTGAAAATCACCAGCAATTTTCCAAATTTCGGAAGCAAAAATGTAGAAAATCTGAATTTAAGAGCTGGTTGTCCTTTTCCGAAAAGGACAAGCGCGACTAAATGTAGAAAATCTAGAATCTAGGATTTAGAGCTGGTTCTCCTTTTCCGAAGAGGACAAGCGCGACTGCATGTAGAAAATCTAGATTTTAGAGCTGGTTGTCTTTTCCGAAAAGGACAAGCGCGACTAAATGTAGAAAATCTAGATTTTAGAGCTGGCTGTCCTTTTCCGAAAAGGACAAGCGCGACTAAATGTAGAAAATCTAGATTTTAGAGCCGGCACACGAAAAGAACGGCCCTGTTTTGCTGCAGAATGTGGCCCCGACCTGCTTGGGCACACACGAGCACTCGAGGGTCCATTTTTTGATCCGAGCTCCGAGGGACGGAGTTTAGGGATTGGGAAGGCGGCTAAGAGCAGCCACACGAAAAGAAAGGGGGGCACCTCGAGATTCGCAGCCGGCGTAGTCTAAAAGGCACATTTTATGAACAGAATTTATCACTTGAAAATCACCAGCAATTTTCCAGAATTCTGGAAGCAGAATGTGGAAAATCTAAAATTTAGAGCTGGTTGTCCTTTTCCGAAAAGGACAAGCGCGACTAAATGTAGTGAATTTAAGAGCTGGCTGTCCTTTTCCGAAAAGGACAAGCACGACTAAATGCAGAAAATCTAGGATTTAGAGCTGGTTCTCCTTTTCCGAAGAAGACAAGCGCGACTAAATGTAGAAAATCTAGATTTTAAAGCTGGTTGTCCTTTTCCGAAAAGGACAAGCGCGACTAAATGTAGAAAATCTAGATTTTAGAGCTGGTTGTCCTTTTCCGAAAAGGACAAGCGCGACTAAATGTAGAAAATCGAGATTTTAGAGCCGGCACACGAAAAGAACGGCCCTGTTTTGCTGCAGAATGTGGCCCCGACCTGCTTGGGCACACACGAGCACTCGAGGGTCCATTTTTTGATCCGAGCTCCGAGGGACGGAGTTTAGGGATGGGGAAGGCGGCTAAGAGCAGCCACACGAAAAGAAAGGGGGGCACCTCGAGATTCGCAGCCGGCGTAGTCTAAAAGGCACATTTTATGAACAGAATTTGTCACTTGAAAATCACCAGCAATTTTCCAAATTTCGGAAGCAAAAATGTAGAAAATCTGAATTTAGAGCTGGTTGTCCTTTTCCGAAAAGGACAAGCACGACTAAATGTAGAAAATCTAGGATTTAGAGCTGGTTGTCCTTTTCCGAAAAGGACAAGCGCGACTAAATGTAGAAAATCTAGATTTTAGAGCTGGTTGTGTCCTTTTCCGAAAAGGACAAGCGCGACTAAATGTAGAAAATCTAGAGTTTTTTTTTTTTTAAGAGCTGGTGTTCCTTTCCGAAAAGGACAAGCGCGACTTAAATGTAGAAATAGATTTTAGAGCCGGCACACGAAAAGAACGGCCCTGTTTTGCTGCAGAATGTGGCCCCGACCTGCTTGGGCACACACGAGCACTCGAGGGTCCATTTTTTGATCCGAGCTCCGAGGGACGGAGTTTAGGGATTGGGAAGGCGGCTAAGAGCAGCCACACGAAAAGAAAGGGGGGCACCTCTAGATTCGCAGCCGGCGTAGTCTAAAAGGCACATTTTATGAACAGAATTTATCACTTGAAAATCACCAGCAATTTTCCAGAATTCTGGAAGCAGAATGTGAAAATCTAAAATTTAGAGCTGGTTGTCCTTTTCCGAAAAGGACAAGCGCGACTAATTGTAGAAATCGGAATTTAAGAGCTGGCTGTCCTTTTCCGAAAAGGACAAGCACGACTAAATGTAGAAAATCTAGGATTTAGAGCTGGTTCTCCTTTTCCGAAGAGGACAAGCGCGACTAAATGAAGAAGACCTTGATTTTAGAGCTGGTTGTCCTTTACCGAAAAGGACAAGCGCGACTTAAATTTAGAAAACCGGTTTAGGGCTGAGGTAGGTGGCTAAGAGCGGCCGCAGGAAAAGATGGTTTAGAGCAGGCGCACGAAAAGATCGGCCCTGTTTTGCTGCAGAATGTGGCCCCGACCAGCTTGGGCACACACGAGCACTCGAGGGATCCGATGGTTAGAAACACCGGTTTAGGGTCCAATATAACTCTATATATTTACGGAAGACTTGCAATCAGTTATGAGCTTACTAGTAAATGGTAGTAATTATGTCTATAATTACCATTTACCTCGTGAAGACTAGAATGTCTTTCGTTTTCTTCCCGAACAAGGTGTAGTACGCTCCTGTACGTAATAAGGCTTAAGCTGAGCATTCAGGCTTAAGCTTTTGAGTTTAGGGTTTAGGGTTTAGGGTTTAGGGTTTAGGGTTTAGGGTTTAGGGTTTAGGGTTCGCCAGCGCAGCTGGCGCCCTGGCCAATTCATGGAAAAAACAAGGGGCTCCGGCCCATGGCTGTAAAGCGTTCGGTGCTACGCGAACCTCGCCCGCGTTCGTTCGGGCGGACGAACGACTGGGCGCCGGACGGACGGACGGACCATCTGGACGCGAGGGACGGACGGACGCACGAGCACGCAAACGTAGCGACGCAATAGGAAAACAAAAACGACAATTCATGGAAAAAACAAGGGGCTCCGGTCCTTAGCCCTAAAGGGTTCGTTGCCGCAAATCTTGCCGGCTTCCGCTCGGATGGACGGACGGACAGACGGACGGATGGACACACATGCGGACGCACCGACGGACGGGTGTCGGGACAGTGCGGGACGGGACGGACTCGACGGACCCGAACGGCACGGACCGGGCGGGGCCGGACGGATGGATGTGGACGTGCGGACGGAGACGGACGGACGGACGGACGCACGGACCGCGATAAGAAAACAAAAACGACAATTCCAGAAACAGATTTGTTTTTGTGATTTCGTTCAATTACAAGGCAAACGCGATACCCACATCACCAAAAGCCCAAAGTCGAGACCGCAAACGCCAAATTGAAAGCCGCCAAACGCTTGATTGAACGCGTGGACAGACGGATGGATGAACGGACAATCACAGGAACGGCCGTAAGGGACGGACGTACGGACGGACGGACACACACGGACAGACGGACGCGGACGGACACGGGTGGACGGACAGGGACGGACGGACATGGGCGGACGGACGGACGGACGGACGGACCACGGACGGAGGGACGGACGGACAGGGACAGACGGAGGACGCGGACGGACGGACGAGGACGGACGAGGACGGACGAGGACGGGCGGACGGACAAGGACGGAACGGAGGGAAGGGAGCGAACGGAAGGGACGGGGAGGGGGACGGAAGGGGACAGACGGACGGACGGAAGGGGACGGACGGACAGAAGGGACGGGGACGGACGGACAGACGGACGGGGGAGGATTCACGGGCGGGGACGGATGGACGGGGACGGACGCACGGACGGACGGATGGACGGGGACGGACGGACGTACGGACGGGACGGACGGAAGGACGGAAGGACAGACGGACGGACGGGGTTTAGAATCCCAAAAACAACGAACCAAATTTGTTTCGGCGACGCGTGAAAACACAGAAATGAAGTTTTAAAAATCGATTTTGTTTTGGCGGGGGCATGAGTGTTCGCGAGCGCGTGATGAGAAAGGGCGAGTGAACATGAGAGAATGAGAATCAGCGAGTGAGAAGGAGTGAAGAAGAATGGTTGAATGAAAGTGAGTGAGTGAGACAAACGCTTACAAAACCTAAAACCCAATTTGAGGAATGGTAAAAAAATCGTAGGGACTTTTCTTTGTTTATAAGACAAATTTTCTTATCAAATAGTTGGTTAATAGTTTTTCTTTTTGTTGGTGTTTCGGTAGTAGAAGCATGAATTTTTAGAGTAGCT